GGGAAAGAGCTCCCTGGATTGCAGATATCATCACACCCTCGGCAAAAACCAAGGCACCCAAGGGTGAAGCAAAATGAGGTGCATGGTGCTGCAGCAGAGAGGCTCCAAGAGCACAAGAAGGGCAGAACTGAGCCTGGGGAGCAGCTCAGCACAGTGCAACAGCGGGACCCTGCTCCTCCCCAGCATCCCTGGCCTTACCTCCACCTTGGTTTTCCAGACCCACGGCCCCTGCCTGAACTTTGAAGGACCCAGGGGCCACCCTTGCTCAGTCACCTGCATGTTTGGACCTTGTGCTTTAGTATTTGGGGGAGTATACCCCCCCAAACTGACAGTGTGGCTCACAGCTGTGAGCCCCTTCCCCAGGGTGTAGGTATACTCCCCTGGGCAGGGGGTAATCTGGGGGCTCCAGAGTTACCCTACTTTATGTTCAGTGTCTGGGACAGGATCTAGATTCAACTATGGTTTGGGGGTGCAGAATCAAACATCACACGAGAATCAGCTGCTCTCACTGACCTCCACCCCAGACCGAAGCTTCCACAGCCCCAGCTCCCTGCTGCTCCAGGCTAGCACCAAATCACAGCAGGCTCTGGAAAATGGGGGACCAGCCCATTCCAGCCATGTGCTTTGCATGGACATTTCCCAGACAAGAAGGGCTTCAGTGCATCCACAGAGAGCATCTCTGAAAGCAGAGGCAGGAATACAGGCTGAGATCAACCCAGTAACTATAGGCAGAACCTCAGTCCAGGCATCGCCCCAGCATTGGAGGGAATATCCCAGTGCTGGGACTTGGGGGATTCCACTGCAGAGGTGGAAGCTGGGAGCAAGGAGCAGGGTGCTGGTCCTGCTGTGCTGCCCAGGAGGAGACAGGAAGGGGACACGAGGGGTGGCTCAGACATGCATTGAGGTGGGGGGAGGCCACGTGTCCTCAGGACAAATTCAAGTGTCAGAACCACAACAGCAATAATTGGGAGAAGAAATTACTAAAAACACAATGTCCCCATCCCCAAAATGAAACCCAGTGACAACAGCACCCAGCTTGCACCATGAGGTAGCTAAACCAGATCAACACCCAAGAAACGTTCTCTTGTGGGGGAAATACCAACCCACAGAGATACTAAGATGCACAGACACAGAGCTACAGGATCACAGTCACCCCTCGCCTCACAGAAACACACACTCCCAGCCTCCCAACACTTGCTGCTATGCTGCAGCACACAGCCCCTCCACCTTCCTCGAGGTGCTGCAGTGAGGTGGGTGCTCAGCATCCTCCAGGACTGGCCACTGAGCCTTGGGAAACTAAGCAGGCACTTCCAGCCTACGCCCAGGTGGTGGGGGGAGGCAAGGCAGGTCTGACCTTAGTAGGAAGCAGCCAGATGTTTCATGTCAGGCACTGGCAGATCCTAGTGCAGACACACAACCCCCATCCTCTAGCCACACAAAGTTTAAACCAGCTGAGGAATGAGCAGGGAAACACTCTCCAATGCAAGTCTGGAGAGTGACACGTTCTCCAGCTCCCACATCTGTGCGTTACTCTGGTGGCTGAGATGCCCTGCACATTTCTGTTGGCCTGGTGGATTATTGTTGCCCCTTCCCAGTCCCGTGGGGCACACAGCCCAGAGCTGCTGGGACTTGGTCCTCTTCCCGACCAGCCATGGCAGGGGGGCTTCTCACCCCAGTACTGGGCTGTGCAGGGCTTGGCCAGCACCACAAGGGACCAGTCACTGTCCTGAGCAGTGTCACACCCACACATGCCATCATGCCCTCCACCAGGGCAGCAGGAGGGGTTTCCTCCCCTCAAAGGGCAAAAAATCCCCATTAAACCAACAGAGATGGTCATGCTCTTCAGGACGCAGAGGAATTCCCACACTCCACCTGGAACAGTTGTGTCAGGGATAGAGGCAACCAACCTGGGGCTGGTCCATGAGTCCTCATGGACTGACAAAGCAGAGAGAAAAGTCTGTGCCTTATGGGGCAGGTCCTGGAGCCCCTGGCCTCTGAGATACCAGTTCAGTGCTGGTGGAATCATGTGGAGAAATTTGAGCTCAATTTGAGTTCAAACACTGCTTCTTCTGTGACAAAGAGGAAGTGAGACCATGTGAGGCAAAAGCACCAACCACTCCTTGTGTCTCAGCCATCCCAAGGAATTCTACCTGGCCCAGGGCAGGATGGAGCAAGAGCTGGTCTGGTAAGCCACAGGAGAGATGGAGGAAAGCTCCAGTGTGAGACCAGGGCCTTGCCAGCCCCTTACACAGGAGAGAGGGTGGATGAAACCTGAAGAAGCTGTGTCCTTGGGGTCACACTCCTGGACAGAGCCTCCAGCATTTCATGGAGGTTGGATTGTGCAAGATCATCGACTGCAGGACTGTCCTTCAAGCATGGGGTGATCAGGGGACTTGTGTGACATCAGTGTGTGCAACCCATTCCTCACCCCACCCCTGGCACATCCGACTCCATTCCAACCTGTGCTCTGGCTGCTCCACACCTCACTGGGCATGTCCAGCTCCACAAGGGGCTGGACCCAAGCAAGGTCCCCCAGGGGGCCTGAGCAGAGCCTGGGGACAGAGCTACAGCTTCTGGTTCCCAGTAATGGCAATAGAAGATGGGCCACAGGGGTAGGGTTGACCTGTAACTCCTGTTCTTGCTTCATTTCTCCACCTCAAGGGGGAGGTGCTGCAGGAACCCACCACAAAACCCCTGCTGAGGGCCAAGGTGTTAAGAGCAGGGCCAGACAGCCCTTTCCTTCCCCACCACAGGGCAGGATGGGCACACAAGGAAGAGTCCAAGAGCTCTGGGTCAGTTGAGAGGTCAGCTGACTGGGGTTTGGAGACCCAAAAATAATTGCAGAGAGTTTGTCTGGAAGTTGCCCGATGGAGATGTTCCAGGCTTGCCATGCCTCCGTGGCTGGGACATGGCAAAGGAGCTCAAAAGTGAACATCTCCAGTTGCTGGGGACAGGAAGACAGAGGATGGAGACCTGGAATTCCTTCTGCTGACCCCCCACAGCAGAGAGGCTGTCCCACAGATGATGTCTCCAAATAAGGAGCCCCTCTATGCTGTGGTCCTGGCCAGCAGACACCAAACATCCTCATAGCCATGGAGTGGAGAGTGACTCCTGCAGAAACGAGCCCCGGAGCCAACAGAGAGAAGCAGCACATCATGGTGGAGGCCACATGAGCCCACAGTGGCAAGAGGGAATTGCATGTCTCTCAGAAGGAGCTAAGGAGGACTGACCCTCAGAAGTCCTGGCAGGTGTTGCAGCAGGGTGGGTCAGTAGAGAGACCAAACATTTCCTGGTAACTGGAAAACCATCGAGAAACCTCAGCAGGAGGGAAGGTGGAGGTGACGGTGCCCCCCAGAGCTGCCTCCTCCAGGAGCTGGCAGTGCTTAAAGTACCAGATGGGACATTGTCCACTCCATTGGGTCAGGCACAAATAAATCCCTATCCCTGGGCTGTGCTCCTGTAGATGACAGGTCATGAGAGCAAGGCAGAGGTACCCCAACCTTCACCCTCCTGTCGTGTCTTCCAGTCTTTCTGCAATTCCTAGTTGGACCCCATGGGCAACCTCCTCCCGCTCCAGAGTTTCACTGTCAAGTCACTGAGAAACAAATGTGAGAGGGACGGTGTGACCCGAGAGTCCCCACAGGAGCAGCCCTGTGGGGAGAAATGCTCCCACCCCCCCACCCAGGGCAGCATGCAGCACACCAGATTCCAGGCTCCTTCCTCTGGCTGGGGGGTTGCCCAATCCATTCTGGGAAGCAGGCAGGCCCATGGGGCTCAACCTCCAGCTCACTCCACTGGCAGCAGATTGGGACAAGGGCAAGTGGTGACCTTCAGGGCTGACATCAACCACAGGAGTCCTGCATCCCCAGAATGAGCTGAACCATGACCCCAGGACATGGGCTGCTGGGGGGGGTGCTGACTCCCCCCCCCACCAATGCAAGCCACAGCTTTCACGGAGCTACCACAGCAGATGTGGGCACTTGGTAAGGGGCAGGGGGGAAAAGCAAACCAAAACAAGGCAGGGCAAAGGAATAAAGGGACAAGTCACTTCTAGCAAAGACTTATCAAGTAGGAAAAAAACACAAAATAGTTTCATACCGTGAAGAAGCAGCTGAGACCAGAGAGAAAGAAAGAAGAGAGAGAGGAGCAAAAGCAAGGACTAGAGAGAAAACCAGAGGGAGAAAGAGATGGAGAAAAAGAGAAAAGGAAAGACAGAAGAAGAGTGCCTGAGCACATGAGCCAAAAAGAGCAGGAGGGTCAAGGCAGACTAGTAGCACGGCCCTTTATGGCAAGGACGCGTCGTGGAAGGCAAGGGGTGAGCCCAGGCACGTAACTCCATAACTTTACCCGGCAGTCACTGTGGCACAGATGGGAGGTGGGAGGAGGAGAGATAGAGACAGAGAAAAAGGAAGGGAGAAAAGGGACATGGTCGGAAAGAGGACATCAGAGTCTTTCTGCCAAAGAGTTCCCCTAAAGCCTGCTGCTGGGATGCCCAGCCTCAAAGGCAGGAGTCCTACATGGGGGACCACCCAGGGCAGGGGACAGGTCCTGGCCCTGCAGTGGGCAGACCGTGTCCAGGGACAGGCTGAGGGTGGCAAGAGGAGATGAACGAGTGGGGGGCACTAGAAAGCTGCCAGACTCCCCGCTTCCCTCCTACCCAGCTCCCTGCCCCTCAGTGCAAACCCACCCAGGCCCAGGGATGACAGTTCAACCCAGGGGTCTTCCCCCTCTCAGAGGTTCTGGGGAGAAGACAGCCCAGGCTCACCTAGAGGCAGTGAAGATATGCTTGGAGTTGGTGCAGATAGCATTGATGGGGCTGTCATGCCCTTTGATCTCCCCAACAGGGGTGAAGGTGTCCACATTCCAGACCTTGATCATGCCTCCTCGGCAGGCACTCAGCACCATGGGGCGGCCAGGGATGAACGCCAGGGCACAGACCCAGTCCTTGTGGGCATTGGGGATTTGCTGTAGGCACAAGCACAGAATGGACATAATGACGCAAGCTGGTACAGTTTGACACAATGACCAACCTCATCTGCAGCACCACCATGGACTCAACCTGGGAGGCCCAGATCCTCCCTGTCATCCTGGCGCTGATCTGCACTGTGGGGTTAGCAACACAAAGCTGGGAGACCAAGGGGATGGATTCAAAAGTCAGGGCTTGGCTTGTCTCCTGGGCAGAAGACAACAATCCTGTCTTCAGAGAGGAACACAGCACCTGGCACTGCAATGGATGCTGCAGCCTGTGTGCTAGGGGAGCTGGCAATCTGGGGGGCCCTACAACACCAACCTGGGGGGAACAGCACCACCTCATACATGCACTGCCAGATTCCCAGGAATGGGAGTGCTCTCCCTGGTTAGATCAGTGCAGGACACTGGCACCAGGTCCCTGAACATTAGTCCTCCCAGACCACCAGCAGCCATGGTCTTCCACCCCACATTACCATGAGGACCTGTGCTTATATGCTCCCCTTCAGACCTGGATAAGTTCCTGCTGCTCCAGGTCCCACTTCTTTATGCCGTTGTCCCTGGAGCCACTGAAGAGAACGTCCCCCTGGATGGCCAAGCACTCAATGCCATCGTAGTGAGGGGGCTCGAAGTTGTGAGTGGGGCCAATGTTGCCCACCGTGCCCTCTGCAATCTCAAACACCTGGGGGGAAAAACAGTGAGTGACAGACCCAGGTGGCACTGGACACAGGGGTGACCTGCTCTTGGAGAACCTGGCCATCAGCCTCTGCTTTCTGGGGTCAGGGCAGCCAGAGTGATGCTGGAAAGGGGAGTGGGCATTGGCCAGTGGAGGCTTTTTTGGGGCTGAATTCTGACCCATTGCAGGGATCTGCCACCAGCAACAGACCCCATTCTGCTGCATTTTACTTTTGGTGAGCTGCACACACTTGCAGATGTCAGAAGAGCAGGATCCTGCCTCCCTCATCATCTCACTATCCCTCTTCAGTCCCTTGTTGCAAGCTCCAACACAACCTGCTACAAATCAGCAAAAACCTGAAAGGGGGGAGCAGCTCCTGCTATGCTTGGACAGTGAAGGAGCAGGCACAAAGCATCTGTATTGGAGAGGAGAACCAAGCAGAAGAGGGTAACCTGCTCACCTGGGTCTGCCATAATATACAAATAAATACCAGCCACAGAGTTTGAGGGGTGAGAGACACAAACCCATTCCAGAGGGGCATTTGTATTGCAGATCAGCAAAAGGCAAGATTTGGGTGAAGAGATACATAAAAACATCACATGCAGAGCTGAAAACAGAAATCTGGGCTCAGATTTGAGCAGGAGATGAGACCTGGGCTTTCCTATGGGACACAGGGCTCTGCTGTCCAAGGAGGAGAGTACCTTGACATAGTGATCTTTGGAGCCTGTGACCACCAGATCATGGTTGCTCGACGTCTGGTTCACCGTGAGACACATCACAGGCCCGATGTGGCCGCTCAGCTTCCCGATGGGCTGCAGCCTGAGGGCAACAACCTGGATCAGCCAGCCCCTTCCCAGGGTGGCAGCTCCTCTGAAGGGCACTCCCAGGCAGAGACCCCATGTTCCTGGAGCCCTCCAGTAGGGGCTGTTCTCTCTGAGGGGATGTGAGCAGAGAAAACCTTCTTCCTCATGGTGCTGGGGGAGGAAGGCAGCCCTGGGCATGCCCATGGGTGCTTGGCTACAGCAAGGGGTCAGCAGCTCAGAACCCACATGGCAGGGAGGGGGGCAAGGGAAAAACCTGGGGGTACTGCTGCTCATCCCACATGGTGTTTCCCTTGTCCCAAGCTCTGCCCAGCTCATGAACAAACCTCCCACCTCAAGTAGCTTCACTGCTGCTCATCACCTCTTGGCTCCCTAGGAAAAGGTTCTGAAAGTCCTTATTCCAGGTAACTTCCATTGCTAAGAAGGCTTTCCTGTTCCTTAGGGGAAGTCATTTCAGGCCCCTCTGAGCAGCCAGTGTCCACTCAGCATCCCCAAGCCATCCTGCCTACCCAAGCACTGCTCCTCACCTGCTCAGCTCCCAGATGCGGACGGAGTTACCAGTAGCAGCATAGAGCATGGTGCCAGTGGGATTGAGAGCAATCTGGTTGATCTGGTGCTCCCCCTGCATACTGGTGACCATGCGGGTGGTGGTCCCAGCACATGCGTCCCCAGAAATCACCTGTCCAGAAGATCTAAGAGGGAGAGGGAGGCCAAGGAGGGAGAAAAAGCAAAGATCAGAGCCACATGGGGCTGCTTGCTCCAAGTGGGTCCCACATGGGAAAGACCCTTGAGGTGTCACTGTCTCTGGCCATCATGGGATCAACAAGTCCCCTAGGCCAGTGCCTGGCTCGTAAAGGGAACCAAGGATGTTGGGTTGTGCATGACATGGAGCATCCTACCCTGGTTTCTATTTGAGGGCTGCTGTTCTCTCCTCCCATTCCTCTCGGCTTCCTGCAGAAAGAGCTGGCTCGTGCTGGCAGCCAGCATAGGGAGGCAGAGGTATTTGTCCTCTGCACCAGGGGAGAAGCACTTTCAGGCCAAGGTAGATGAGCTAAGGCTGGGTGGAGAAAGGAGCTCTATGCTGGAGAGAGCTGGTAGCCCTGGTCTGCCATACATTCCTAATATTTGAGCTCTGCTCCAGACTGGCAGAGCCTGTCCCATGCTCCTTTCTGGTCCTCAAACTCCTCATAAAGACACAAGTTTCCCACTGAAGAGCCTGTGATTTACTCAGCCATGGTGCTATTGGAGGCTGTACCTCTTCCAAGGAGCTGCTGGCTCTCTTGGCCCCAGAAGTAGCTGCAAATCTCTTCAAAGCCCCACCCTAAGCTTTCTTTACAGAAGGTCCCCATGAGTCCTCTCACCTCAAGCTCCCCCCCAGCCTTCCTGTTCCCTAAGGTTGCAGTACTAAAAGCTGGCACTAAAGCAGCTGAGACAGCCCTGTCTGCAGCCCCAGGAGTTCCTGGGACTGGGTCTCCACAGCCACAGATGTCCAGAGTGCCCAGGGTCCCCATAGCAGCTCCTGCCTGCCACCTACGTGAGGGTGCGGATGCACCGAGCCGAGTCCCGGATGTCCCACACCTTGATGTATGATGTGGACACGGTGAACACCAGCCCTGTGTGGCTGCAGTACTTGATGGAAACCACGTTGTTTGGATGACCCTTGAGGGAAGCAATCTCTTGGCCTGTCACCAGGTTCCACATTTTGCAGCTCCGATCTGGGAAAGGAGGAAAATGCATCAGGCTGGGGTGGGTCTCCCCCTGAGGGAATAGTGGCCTGGGGGCAACAACCCTGCTGAGCATGGCCTCCCCCCACCCACAGAGTCAGAGGAAAGGGTCCCAGCCAGTCCCAGCACTATGGAAGGAACTATTTCTTTACTAGGAACAAATTCTTCCCCAAAAGGGTTGTCAGGCCCTGGCACAGGCTGACCAGGGCAGTGGTGGAGTCCCCATTCTTGGTGGAATTTCAAAGCTGTGTAGATGTGGTGCTGAGGGACATGGGTTAGTGGTGGCCTTGGCAGTGCTGGGTGAAGGGCCGGACTGAATAATCAGAAAGGTCTTTACCAACACAAACAATTACACGTTTCTGTGATTCTGTGAGGACAGGAAAAAGGCTCAGGAGGCATCAGCCTCCATGGCACTTCATGCATTCCCCTGTGCTGTTCCCTCAGTACCCTCAGGCCAGCACCCCCCCACGTCTCCTCCATCTATCACGCACCTTTAGACCCAGTGAAAAGCAGCTCATCGGTGGCATCCAGGCAGAGCACAGGCTTGGTGTGTCCCTCTGCCATGGAGACACACTGCAGTGGCGCTGTCCGGGCGTTCTTGGTGCCACCCACCGGGTTAATGATGCCCCTTGCATGGGAAAGAAAGAGCAAGTGTGGTGGGGGGAGTGTGACATGGTGCCATCTCACACAGGGGCATGGGAGAGCAAGAGCTGCATCACTCCAACCATCTTCCCTTGCCTGGCAGTGTGATGGGCCCCACACCCCAGCGTGTCTGAGCCAAGATCTTAATGGAATCTCCCCAGGAGAAGCCCCTGTCTGCTTGCTCTGCCCCAGCAATAGACTGGGATGGGGGGCTGCTCAGTGGCCTCTGCTCTCCTGCTGGACCTCTCATGCCTGGCCAGCACAGACCCCAGGAGTCAGAAGACCCAGCTCATGGATCTTCAGGTCAGTTTGTGACAAACCGCACCTTCTCCAGCCTGAAGCTCTGCTGGAATAAATGTTCCAGGGTAACAATACCCAGCACTGTGGTTCCTTGGAGGCTGTCAGCCCATGGCTGGTGACATTTGGAGACAGGGCCCTGCTCCTTTACATAAGGCCACAAGGGTGACAAAGGACAGCACTGATATTTGCATCCAGTGTCCCTGTCACAACAGCTGGGAAAGCTCTGCATCTACCCCTGGCTCTAGGCCCTGCACTGGGTAAGGAAACTGAGGCACGGGGCTGGAGAAAGGTGGGCCCGAGGCCACACATGGTTGCTGTTACGACATAAGGACAGATCCGCAGATCCGGGCTCAGTGGTTTGGAACCCCGTGTCTGAGCACCCATCCTCAGTGAGTGGCTGAGCTGACAAACTCCAATTAAACTGCATCTTCTGGTCCCTCTTGAGGGGACAGCAAATTGAAATGGAGACTCCAGCTCCACAGGGAGTTGTTAGTGATGGGCTGTGACTGCTGCCTGGCTGCAAAGTGCCCAAGGTGACAGCACAGACACAGCTGATGCCACCTCCCCAGTGACTGGGCACTGGTGGGGATGCAGGGCAAGCAGGCTGGTGTTCCTCAGGGATGGGGAAAAGGTGGCCCTCCTGTTTGGAAACCTCTGTAGGCAGGAGGGTGCAGTGGGAGGAGCCCAGGATGTCCTGGTTTGAGCAAGGATGAAGACAATTTTCCCTTTACTGATTCTGTTTTCCTTCAGTAATTTTTCTTTTAACTAGTCAGAGTGTTCCAACTAGCACTGAGAACAGTAGAATGTGTCTCTAACTGCTGGGGCTTCAAGGTCACATCTTCACTCTGCCGGCTCAGACGCTACAGGGAGATCTGCCCCCCCACAGGAGGCTGAGTTAGACAGACAGCAAAACTGGCCAGAGAGATTCTATTCCATGGAGCTATGTGAGCTCAGAGGAAGGACAGAGAGCACACAAGACAACTTCCTCCCTGCTGCTTCTTCCCTTCTCCTCCACCCATGGCCGGCGCCCGCGCAGGACTCCGTCCATCCCTCCCCGGGCACCCCCAGGCTCCAGCTCTCCTGACCCTCATCACTCTGCGCTTTCTCCAGCAGCGCTTTGGGATTTTTCGGGGCTGTTTCAGCTCAGGAGATGCTGTGGGAGTTGCTGGGGTGGGGGGAGGTGAGAAGCTTTTGCCCATATCTGAACATAATTGTATGTAGTTGTATCTATTTCTTTTATCACTGATGTTGAATTAAAGCTTTGTAGTTGAGTTTTCAATCCAGCAAAGTTTCTCTCTTTTTCTCTCCCCCTACCTGGGACTGAGAGCACTGTTGTCAGACCTGAGTCAAACGGTGACACCTTAAACCCGAGGCTGAGCTCTGCACCACAGTCTGACATGGTTTCTTTGGGACAGACATCAACCCACCCCCAACCCAACACCAGGGAGCCACTATCAGGTGTGGGCAGCTCGTGGAGATGTTTGCCTGGAAGATGCTTGCAATAAGGACACACTGGGGGGTCCCAGGGTTTCTTGCGTCCTTCCCTGGCATCACAGTGAGGGAAGTGTCATATCTCCTGCTGGACAGCTGGGGGACAGGATGAGACATGGTGGCATCATGCTGATGAGAACCCATCAGCGATGAAGGAGAACATGCTGCCACCCTGAACTAGCCAGTGCCCATGGGTGAGCCCAGCACCATGCTCCCAGGGGCTGAGCAGAGCAGGAACAGTTCCAACTCACACCCAAGGGGACAGTGTCAGACACTGGAGGTGGTGGCATGCCAGCATGGGACAGCAGGCACGGGCTGGGGAGAGCAGCAAGGTACAGGTGAAGCATGCAGGGACAAAGGAGAGCAGGTTCCTGACACAGAGAGATGGAGGAGAGGAGGGAGGGATAATAAATAGAAAGTTGTCTATACCTCAGCACCTCCGAGACAGAGGAATCGCTGTCATCAGACCTAGGGGCAGAAAATTAGCAGGATTATGGGAGAGAAAACCCAGACTAGAAGAGGCAGCAGAGGTGTCAGAGATGGAGGATTGTTATTGCATCCAAGCCAGTGCAGGACAGAGAGGAGGAGAGGAGAGAGGGTGAAGTACATGTGGAGAGCTGGGGGAGAGGACAGAGGAACAGGAGAGCATGTGAGGACCAGACAGCAGGTCTCCATCAGGGAAGGTCAGCGCTGCTGGCTGTGCTCTGGGACAAGGGCAGCTGCCCGACCTGCTGCAGGGGGAGGCTGGAGCAGCAGCTGTGGGGCCATGCCAGTCCTTCAGCTTCCTGGCAAGCCCCCATCCCACCTCACCCCATCCTGCTCCACAACGTTTTCCAGTGATCCAAGCCTGAAACTGCTGTATCTCCAAGTAGGGCTTAGCTAGAGAACAGGACTGTGTGGTCCTTCAGGCAGTCAGCTGGGAGGGGATATACAGCAGGCAGGACAGGGCACGGATGCAGCATGGCCCTTGCAGAGCATCTGATCCCTCATGGAAAAGAGCAGGGAGTGAAAATGGTGGTAGGAAGCTGGCTGGAGCCAACCTAGGTCCTGTGCTTCTACACCCCATGATGGGCCTGGTACATGCCCTTTTGCTGTTATGGTGTGGGTCCCCCTCCCTCAGACCCTCCACCCCACCAGGACTTACTTATCCAAGGCAGACCCCTGGCTCTGGTTGCTCGTGAGACGAGAGAAGACATTGCGGTCGTTGCGTGGACGGGTGGGTGGGGATGGAGGAGGTGTGAAGCCAACATCTGGAGGCCTGAGCCAGGAAGGATCAGAAGGACACATGACTTGGGAACTGCTCACCTGGCAGCTGCCTGGCACACCAGTGCCCAGCAAGAGCTGGTCCAGCCAGCCATCTCTCCTCGCTTCTCTGGGCCTGCCAGCCTCTCCCTGCCCTAGTGGCCACTTCTCCAGCTCCCAAGCTCACCTGGCAGGTTGCCCACGGTCATAGGATTTCCTCCTTGTCAGAGGCAAAATGTCCGAGCCACGAGATTGCCTGGGACTAAAGAAAGTGCAACAGAGCACAGTGGGTGCCTGTTCCCCCTGCTGGGATCCCTCCATGTTGAACATCTGTGTCCTTCCCCAGAAGAGCAAAGGAGAAGTTGAGCTGCCCTGGAGTCACAATCCCAAGATCAAAGCAGACCTTGAGCCATTCCATGAGCACAGAGGCAACCAAAGAAGCCTCCCAGAAACCTGATAACCCAGGGCAATGAGATGGCGATGCCCCCTTCTGCTTTCCCTCCTCCTGGAATACCCAACTTTCCATCTACGGAGGACACCAATATACTCCTAAATGCTCTCCGAGACCCACTGGAGAAATTCAGCACTGCTTGCTGCAGACAAGCCTGGATAGATGCAGGATTGGTCTCAGCCTCACTGCTCTGCAACTCTGCAGCCAGGACTCAGCTTCCCACCTGCTGGCCCATGCCTCCACAACCCTCCCAGTGCCATCACCCCATGCTCACAAGGTGCTTCCTCGAGTGGGCAGGCTGACAGTGCGTGACACCTTCTCCTTATAATAGGAGTCTCGGATGGAGAAGCTGATCCCATCCTCTTTGATCTCCATGAGGGATGCCAAGGACTTGGTGATGTTCTTGGTGGAGACGTCCAGCGTGGGTCCTAGATACTCAGCCGACACTGCCTTCATCTGCCCTGAGAGCTTCGGCTCTCCCTAGAGCAGGGCAGAGGGCTCAGGCACAGGCAGCACAGGGACAGTAAGTGCAGCCAGAGAGCTGTGGGGTGGAGCAGCTTCTGCTCTCTGGCCACAGAAGGTCAAGTCCCCACTGGATGGTGCTGGGGTGCCCATCCTAGGGCCAGCTCCCCATGCTCTAAGCAAAGGTGACAGCCTGTGCAGAGCAACAGGGTCTCCTCCACCTTTGCCCACAACAGATGCAGCACTCCACAGGGACCTCCTTGGTGCCCACTCAAATATGGAGGGTATTGGCCAGTGTGGTGGGTGTTTCCCAAGTCTCTAGTGCTTCAGAAGACCACAGGACCAAGAGGCCTGGGTTTCACCTTGCCTAGAGCTGAGCCCACCCAGAGACCAGCCTTAGTGCCTTTATACCAAGCATGGCTCTTCAAGGGTCACACTACACAGCAGAAGTCTGTAACGTCACTGAACAACAAGCCCATCGATCCCTTCTCCCATTCTCTGTGACAGGGCCACACAGAAAGGCCAACTAACCTTGAATTTAAAGTCATCCTGGCTTGCTGAGCCCTTCATGGTGAAAGACTGGGATATGCTGCAAGAAAGGAGAAAGATGAAACTTCAGTGCCAAACTCCCTTCAGAGAGCTAGCTGCCACTGGCTCACCAGACTCTTTGATCACCCCCCGCTCCCCAGCACCCTTTCCCCAAGGGATGACCTAGTCTTCACTCCCTCATGGTGTTTAGGAGACATCTCTGCTCCCCTTCCTAAGGGCTGGGCATCATAAGAAAGTTTAGGTGGGGCTTTGTTCATCCATGTCCACCTGCATGTTTTCATGGATGGCACCAGACATCCCACCCCACTCCTGGCCTCCCCAGCCGCCACTAGCCCAGGCAGGGCTAGGCACTCACCTCCCATCTGAAGCCAGGCTGAACTCTGAGACCTCTTCGTCCGTGCTGGTGTAGCCATTCTCTGTGGGAGGGGAATAGAACATCAGCAGTGCAGAGGGGACCCTGTTGCGCTAAGCCCCATCTGAGCCACATGGCAGAGGGGGCAGTTGGTCCTTGTCCCTGCTGTGTGGTGGCTGAAGCACACGTCCCAACCCAGCATTGCCCTCGAGGCAGTCCTGGGCATGCTGCTGCCAGCCAGAGCACCTCTGGGTGCCCCTTGGTGGATCAGCAGGGGTGGGCACCCAGACCCAGGGGCTGCAGGCCCAGCCCCAGGTCCCACCTTGTTGAACGTTGTGGATCAGGGCCTGCAGTTCAGGATGTGACTCAGCCTTCTCCCGCAGGGCATCCAGGATGGCATGATTCTGCGAAGAGCCAGTCATGTCCATCTGCCGCAGGCGACCCTCCAGCAGGCGGATCTGGGCCTCCTTCTGTGCCACCTGCAGTCCCTGGGGAAGGACAGCCCAGCCAGGCCTCAGGCAGGTGTCCTGGGTCCCCACCCTGGCACCTGCTCTCCTCTGTCCTGTACCCGCACCTTGTCTATGGAGGCCTTCAGGAAGTTGTCCAGCAGGAGCCGAGCTTCAGCCAGGGAGCAGGAGCTGATCACCACTGAGGTGTCTGTGGAGTCCAGCTCCTCCTGGAAGGCGGAAACAGGCACTGAATGCAGTGAGGGAGCTTTGCTGCTGGGCATGGGGCAGGCAGAAGGGACACTGCAGCCAGCACAGCACCTCCAGCCCCCACCAGCACTGCCCAGCCCTGCTCCCATTGTCCTCAGCCTGCCCAAGGGCCTACCGGGGAGGTCCAGTCATGGAGATGGCCAAAAAACCCTGAAGGGCTTCTGTGTGCTACAGCAATCACAGAATCACAGAATCTTTGGTGTTGGAAGGGACCTCAAAAGATCATCCAGTCCAACCTGGACCCTGTCAGAGCAGGGTCACCTGAAGTACATCCCACAGGAGTGTGTCCAGGCAGGTTTGGACTGTCTCCAAAGAAGGAGACTCCACAACCTCTCTGCCCAGCCAGTCCCAGTGTTCTGTCACCAGGCGCCAACACCTCATTAGACAGATACCAGGCAAAAAAGCAGATCGGGTCACCGGCCCAAAGGCTGGTGTGAATGCCCAACCCCCAGCTGATGGGCACCGAGGACAGCAGCAGCCCCCGGTCAGCCCGGCCGCCGCCACTAGAGGGGAGCCGGGAGCCGCACACCGACCCTGCGGCACCTCCAGGGTCTACGCTGGACACAAAACCTGCAGCGTTTCTGCTATAAAACAAGTCAGTCCTCCTGTAGCTCTAGAAACTCCTCTGGGGACAAGTGACCACGACCCCCATAGGCACGACGGGGGCTGCAGATTCTCTGCATCCCAGTGGGATGGGGCACGGGGCACCAACAGCCTGTCCATGGCTATCCAAAGACCTGGCAGCAATCTCCTCCACAATTAACCACTAACGAGAAGTGAGGGCGAGGGTAAGGCCGCATGGCTGAGGAGGACTCCAGGATGCTCAGCCTGGCCATGCCCAGGTGCCCCTTCACCTCCCAGAGTACTCCTGCTCTTCCCCTGCAGGCTGGGTCCAGTCCAGCCACCCACCTTGGTCTCCTCAATCTGCATAATGGTGGCCTGGCAGTCAGAAATGCTGTCATTGATGTAGTCAATGTTGGCCCCCAGCACTTCAATCTCCTCATTCAGCTCCTGCAGCCCCTTCTGCTCCTTGGGACTCTCTGCCTGCAGTTTCACCCTCTTGCCCAGCAACGCTTCCTGAAGCAGTGCCAGCTCCTCACGTTTCTGAGGGAAAAGGGAGAGGCATTGGCACTGTTGGCATGGCTGTCCCACACCCACCACTAAGCCTTCTCTATCTTCAGTGCCACAGCCACCTTAATGAGCCGCTCCATGTCGGCCTCCAGGTTCACAATGGTCATCCTCTGCATGACGATGTCAAAGATGCGCCGCTCCAGTGACTGCCACTTGAGGCGGGCAGCTTTGCTGAAGGTCTGGCTCACCCCCTTCTTGGGGAACTTCTTCCTACAGCCCAAGAGGAGAAGGGGCACTTGGGTGACCAGCCTGGAAGGCTGTGCTTACCCCAAAGGGGCACCTCAGCTCTGGCTGGCTGGGAGTGGAGAAGGCATCTGCATTGTTTCTGGATTGTCCAATATGTCCATCAGCCCTTAGTAAAGAGCAGGACAAGAGATGAACCCAGCAGGGTTTGTGCTGTGGCACTTCCTTCCTCATGGAAGGCCAGCACTGGGCTCAAGCCCAGGTGACAGTCAGACTCGGTCAGTGGCTGAACACAAGCCAAGAAGCTGGCATCCAACCTCCACTACCAGCCAAGAGCTAGGTATGGGAGCTTTGGGATGCCCCAACACCTGTCCCCACAGCCCTCGCCCTGACCTGGCAGGCCGAACCCCATTCACAGAGGATGAAGGGTCACCCAAGAAGTTGTTGATCTTCCTGTTCCACTGGCGCACGATGCTGGAGACAGAGCGAGCCCCAGACTCGGGCTCAGAGGACGTCGTGCTGGCTGAGACCTCTGCGCCTGAATCGGACATGGCTGGCTTCTGGCTGGCCCTGCCGGCCACCCGGTCTGACATGGGCTTGGCCAGACGGCGCAGTGCTGAAACCTGCCCAAAGGAGTGTGGAGGAAAGGATGTAAGACGAATGTCCTCAGCCCAAACCTGCTGCCGTCACCCCTAGGTCCCTGGGGGACTGAGAGTGGCAGCTCTAGAGGCCTCAAACCCTGGGGCAATTTGTGCCCCATGGGTTTCCCTTCTAGCCCATTTTCTGCTGCCAGGCTCAGCTGCCCTGGGAGATGGGCAACTCCTGCTGTCTGCAACTATTTCCCACCTGATTCCTGAGCCACAAAAATCCTCCCACCCTTTTGGGAAAGCAGCTCCCAGAGCTGGCACTGCCTGGAGGATAGGGTGCCTCTGAGCCAACCACTGGGGCAGGGATCTCTGTTGGTCGTACATGGGGGAAACACCCTCCCTGCCCCTCACCTCCTGGGTTTTCCTCCGCAGCACAATTTCCTGCTGCCGCTTCTGAGATTCCAGAGCCCGGATTTGAAACTGCAGAAGTGAGAGAGAGAGAATGAGACCCTTGGGGTCCTGCCCAGGCACCGCAGTGATAGCAGCAAACCTGGGGCTCCCACGACCCAAGCTTGGAGCAGTTACTTAGGAACAAAGAGTCTCACTTCTGATTGGAACAGTGAGCAGGTTTCCAGCCTTGAGGCTGGCCCTGACAGCATATTGCCCCCTTAGGCTGGTGGGGAGCTCCCAGCATCTCCCACAGCCACACTGGGAGCTGCAGGAAGCACTTGAGAGCTGTTGAGTCAGGTGTGCTCTGCTGAGGCTGAGGGGCTCCTGGGTGCAGCAGGGCCCCAGGCTTCACCGACTGATATTGATGAGCACCTTGGAGTGTCAGAGCAGAACAAACAGCACCCCAGGCAAGCGCAGCTCTTCCCTACCCAGGGTCAGGCTGGGCTCCCACCTCCTGCCGCCGCTGCTCCTTCTTGAGCTGCGCAATCTCTCGATTCCTCTTGGTCTCCACCAGCCGCCGCCGCTGCTGCTCCTCACGCATCTGCTTCATCAGTGCCACCTGAGACAGAATCACAGAATCTTAGGGGTTGGAAGGGACCTCGAGAGATCATCTAGTCCAACAAGACAGGAGGTGCTGCATGTCACTGCAGGTACCCAACTGTTCCAGGGCACCCACCCACCCCACAGACAGACAGATGTTCTGCACTGTTCTTCCACCAGGAGTTGAAAATACCATTTCTGAGCAGGGAGTCAGCCCAGCCCAGGGCTGCCCTCCCTGTCCTGGCATGTCCAGGTACCTTTGCCTTCTTCATCTCGGCCACCTCTGCCTGCAGCTTCCTGAGCTCCCGCTCGTAGCGGGACTGGTTCTTGAGCAGGCGAGCATGCTCCTTCTGGGCTGCCTGGAGCTTCTGCAGGTCCCGGTTCATCTCTTTCAGCCGCTTCTCATAGTCTGCTTTGATCTTGTTGGCTTTCTCCTCAGTGTAGCACTCCATAGTGCCTGGGGAGAGAGGGCTTGTGATGGCCCCACACCCTGGGCTCCTCTGGCACTACACACCCTGGCTGGGGGCACTGGGCCCTGCTCCCTCCCCGTCCCACTAGAGCCTCCCTCACCCCTCTGCTCCAGCCCTATCACAGGCTGGGGGCTGTCTGGGGGCACACTTTGGAAGAGCTGGGCGAGGACTCAGCACTGGGGGACACACTGGGTGGGCTGAGAGGAGCTGCAGACCTACAGCCATGAGCATGGAGGATCCTGCGCTGCTGAAC